AATAATAATATGTGAAACTTTTGCATTAAAATAACAATTATTCGGACATTTACATTTGAAATCAATATTTCCGCAAACACTGTCTATGTGTAACCACGACAGAATGATGAACGTAGAAAGGAAATATGTACATAGTATGAGGCAAGGATTTCAGAACGTTGAAGCCGAACGAAACGTACGGTGCCGATTAAGCGCCGCTAAACTTCGCCGCCGTCCCGTCCCAATTCTCGGACGGAATAGCGTGGTTTTAATTAGCGACCGCCAGACGAGCTTACGGGCTTATAAACTGATAGTAACTTGTCAGCGGGGGGAACCCGCCGTGTTACGCGTAAAATGATTTCACAAGCCGCCTTGGGCTGCACGCGTAATTAATCCTCTGGTTAGTATGCCGACCGGCGAGTCGCGGCTTGTTACAACATTCGCGACAATAAACGGCGAAATATTGCGCAAAAGGTTGACACATTCCCCGCACGCCCATCGATCCCCGTTATACAGCACGACGTGTATCCACTATCAGAGCTTCGTTCTACCGACGTATCCGACGTTGTTGAACTTTCATGCCATCCCCCTATATACACCTCTGCCGCATAAACACATAGTCGACCTGATTTAATCCGTCGATGGTAGATAGCGTCTCACTTCGCGGATTCATGCGATTCCACCACGCGACCCGAATGTTACGAGCACCCAAGTTACCTTTTCCTCAACACCTCGCTAGATGCCCCTTCCCTCAACCCCCCTGGATCTTCTATTTAGCTTACCCACAGCATACAGAATCGTGCGTTGAGGGATGAAACGTTTGCGGAGTTCTCCGTAATCCGTTGCGTTGTAACTTGACTGCAGAGTACTTAACCAGAATAGAAAAGTAAAATTTGAACGATAAATGAACTTATTAATTATCAATTGTTAATAAAGTACGAATCATTGATTTAAGAATGACTGTTTGGTGTTTAGCAGAAAAAGCAACTTTGTAACTGTCGTGGAACTTTTTAATATTGGTTGGTCTTGTCCTTAATTTCTCTAAATGTATGAACCAATTATATTTAAGAATTTTATAACAGTTGCAAAATTGCTTTTTCCGTTAAACCAAAAATTTCAAAGATTTATTCTTTATGCTTTGTTTTTTTACCGCAATATTTGACGTATTTATTTATCTTTCATTTATTGTGCTACATTGGATATGATACAAATGAAAGATATATTAAAAAATGATAAAATATTTGATATTTTTCATTTATAAAAAATATTTGATAACTATTTCTGCTTATGTCAATTAGAGAAAGGATTAGAAATTGAAGGAAGATAAGGAAGTGATACTGGATAAGAGAAGATAATCGCGATTCACATAGAGTTCTTACGTAATCCGTTCTTTTATTACATATGTCGAGCATATTCATAAGAATGTCTCGCTTCTTCAGTTTTCTTGTAAATAACAACATTCAAATCAACGTCGCAAAGCATAAATATTATAATAATATATATATTATATAACATATATATATTTATATATGTATACCCAATATAGTCCCCCGTAATTCGTATATTTATATATTTATATATTTGTATTTTCATATTTATAATTTGCGTTATGTATACATATATACCTTCGCGTTTAATACGTCTCATCACGCACTTACAACGCTAAGACGGCGAATTTCTTTCACTTTTCTTTTTCATGTCAATCCGTTTTTTTTTATTACTTTAAAGGCTATGGTCAAAATATCTCTCGCTAATAAGATTTACCCTTCTTGCGCGTTTCTCCGCGTGTGAGAAACGATGGCGAAAGTACGAAAAAACTTAAAGGCGAAAATTCACGAAACGGAAAAATGAATTAATGATGTTGGTGTACGTGACACGCCGTACATTACCATCGCTGGCTGCGAAGCTTATTCTACGTGCAATTCTTATATCACTGGTATACTTCTATTTACAAGGTTCGCCAATGACGAGTCAACGTTCGAGCATCCTTAGACCGATAATTCGAATAATCCGCGTCACCATTTTCCCTTAGCCATTCACAGATTTCATCAAAATTCTTTGATTGTAGTAAGAGTTTAGAGGTAACTTTCAAACTATTTTTTTTTCGTACTATTTTTTTTCTTTTTTTACCTTTGACTAATTCACTGTCTCTCAATTTCATTGATTCCGCATGATGATTCGTGAGTTCGATAATGTGTTTTTATTCTAAATTTATAGGATCCATTTGAATTAAGATTTAAAAGAATCGAAAATGAATTTTATCACAACTACAATGCTAACGGAAAATGGCATTACGTATAGGTATTACAGGCAAGAAGTCATTGTCGTTTTACATGTAATCACATACACGCGTATACATACACGTACATACACATGTACAATGTGGATTCTACTTGTATTGTGGGCAGTGGTTCTCAATAGGTGATAGCTTTAGAGTTTTTGAATAAGGCCTAAAAAGAATATCTTTATTTTTTTGCGTAATAGTCTTGGGTTTTTAGTGGACAAATTATTCGAAATGTTTAAATGATTGTTCTATATTTTTGTTTTACATAAGATTGTATAGTACGCTTGTAACTAGCTCCATTACGTAACAAACTTTTTGAGCGTTATTTAATCCTTCATCGACAATGTAATTTCACACTTTGTCTGGATCTTCGAACTTCAGTGCAAATTTTTATATATGTCGATGTATATAAAAATCTGAAAAAATTCTTACATTTTTGTAAAAGTTTTAACAACAAATTTTTATTATCATAAAAGTTAAATTGTATTTTAATTATTTTTTACAGATTTAAATTTATCCACCAAAATTCATAATAAAAAAAATTGACTATGCCTTTAAGGCCAATTGCTGGTAGAGGGCATTATTAATTAGTTGTGCCTATTAATTTTATGAAATAAATACTCATTGTACCAAAACAAACGAATTCAATTATCTTTGAGTTCGTGAAAGAATTGGAAAGTGTTCGTATTTATCTTTCCTACTCAAAATTATATAAAATTGATAAATAAAACTTTGTATAATTAGAGTAAACTGTAATTTGAAAATGTCAGTAATAGTTAACATTAATATAAAAAAAATTCAAAAACACTTGTACATCATTTTGATAGCAGTAATAATATTGGTCTAAAACTTTATTTAAAGCCTATCGACGTATCGTCGAGCACAATCTATATATTGCTATGCAATATATTGTGTTTAATTGCTTTTTTCCGCAATTTTATTTTTATCAAACAAACTGTTTATAATGTAGCTATAAAAATGCTTTTCAATCAGAAATATTGGTTAATCGTTCATGCGTAAATGCACGCAATAAATATGTTTTAATCGATAAGTTGAGAAACAATCGTAGCGTTGATCAGATTGGGATTTGAATTTGTCGCAGTAATCTCTACAAATTGCAAACGTTGCGATGTTCTAAAGGCGCGTGATCCCCTCATGTTAAATGCTTATGACTTTTAAGATCGCTAGTCTCGCGAATGATACGATTACAGACCTCATCAGAGTAAGTCTGCGTAATCCCTAAGTCGACCCGTTCCCTTCTTTAATCCATGCCGGGCATTAACTCCTTTGCGCGCCGAGTGCAGGGACTCTCTCGAACCTGTTGCTTTAAACAAGATGTACGCTGAATAATGGATATTCCTAAGTAGTTAGAAGTCCGCTTAAAACCCGGTACGGCCGAGCCGGCCTCTCTCACGACCGCCTACGAATAAATCCCAATTTGATCAATTAATACGTAAATAAATCGATCGCGCGACACAACAACGTGAAGTGTGGGTCCAATATTTATAGCAAATATGTAATTTACCTTGCAATTATTTTCTGTTGATTCCATCAAGGACACTCAGCCGGAAAATTTTTGGTGCCAATTCAGTTTGATTATGAAACAAATACATGTCGATGTTTCGCTATGCGTAGTATCGATGTGCGTATATGCGTATGGAAAGTTATTAAAGCCTGTTACACAATAGAATCGCAACCCGTAAGAAATTAACCAATCAATTATTTGTCATATTTAACTGTGATTAGCCAATTTTTTACGGGTTACGATTTGCGACTTTATTGTGTAACAGGTTTAAAGCGGTATTCGTAGTCGGTACTTATTTTAGACCATCTTAAGGAATGTCTTAAGATACTGATTCTGTGATTGGTTGATGACATCTTAAGAGACTATATTTAAGACAGTCTTAAATATAAGATTCGAATATGAATCCGATCTTAAAATACGCATTTCTTTCTGTTTATATAAATTGGTTATCTTTAACGCGTTAAGAGAAGATAATAAAAGATAATAGGTCACAAAACAGTTTCAATAATATATGATTAAGACTTCTGCTCACAATTGTTGTTCCCGGGATTATGATGTCAGAAGCGAGAAAATCACAAATCGCGTTTACATCAAAATAATTTGTTTTTTCCGTACATTATCACAAATATGTTCCGCTAGATAACGTAGATATATAAATACAAAAATTTTACAGTCACATAAATAAAATATAGATATAATTTGAACTACACGCATTCTACATTTCGAGAGAAAATGGATTTTACAATAGTTGATCGAGATTTAAGTTATTATTTCACAGAATAAGGAGTATATTCGGCACATTCAATCAATATTTTCCATTCAAGACGAGTCTCGACATGTAAGAGAGTTAAATTATTAGGTGTTGGAATTAATTCGTAGCGTTTTACAAGTGATGGGAAGTACTTTCATTAATGTATTTTTTAATGCTCATGTGAAATAAATAACATTCTTTCATTAAAAACGCTACGAATTAATTCCAACACCTAATATTTTCAGGTATGATATCAAGAAGAAAATAAATCAAAATGACTTTTTCCACTTCTGTTTCTGTATGATTGCACGCATAGCAGGTAATTGGAATTATAATTAAATAAAGGAAGAACATGTGCCTGCATATAACGTGAAAAGAGGGTTGCATTCTCACCGAATTGATTCGTATGCAACTGATAGTGTTCGACTTGTTACGATATATCCCCATTTCTTTCTTTGCAAATTTTCCATTTTCTTCTTCTTCCTTTCCCTCTCCCCCACTGTTCGTACTTTCTTCGACTCTCTAGATGAGAACAACTCTCCCGTACCGAATCTGACGTTTTAATCTCAAGTATCCAGATGGGCTCCATGATTTCGTAAGGAGGTAAGGATAAGAGGTGGAAAGAATTGGAGAATTTAAAAGTACTTGGCAGAACGAGAAAGTTTACCGCGAAATAAAAAAAAGTAGAATCGATGCTGGAGATAATAATATATACACGCATTTTATACATTTTACGAGTATATAATTTGGAAAAAAAAAAGAAATAGCCGATGCTTAAGGGATACATACAGTCACACACACACGCACGCACGCACGCACGCACGCACGCACGCACACACGCGCGCGCACACACACACAAACCGTGACTACGTATATAAATAGAACCTGATATTGATAGAGAATTAACTTTGTTCGAAACGTGACTAACACCCATGAATCTCCTCGGGACACATATCATCGTGACGAATCTTCGAACGGAAGCATTTCTATGTTATTGACAAAATTGAGAACCCTCACGCATCGATCGTACAAACGAGAGAAGAAAACTATTTCGGGAGGGGGATATAAGTTCAAAAATGTTGGAAAACTAGTTGGCTCGGTGAAACTTTAATTCAGTATTAAGCTCGAACGATTTCGTTTTGATATTCCAGAAATGTCATTTAGTTGCGCGACTGAAATACTCCCATATAGTGTAGTTTAAAAAACGTAACGACTCACTCTCTCACACACGTTCCGAGTTGCACTCTCTCGCGAAGACGAAATCACTGGTATTTGTTGGTTTGGCGTCATACACTGGTATTTGTTACGGCGTTATACAATATATTACACTGAAAGCGATAGTCGTTGCACTTTGTTAATACCCTTTCCTCTCGTTCTCGTTGTTCCACCTCTCGGTGTGTGTCTCATCTCTTATCTCCGAGCCACACAACGCACAATCGATGAAGAAAAGATTGATGAGGATTTATGTCCCTTAAATTCTTGGCCATTCATGGACTGTCGTTGCTACACTAACTTGGCACGCGTAAATTATTCTCCGCCATTTAATACGGACGCTATCTACTCCAGTCAGTCTTTGTGTTATCTTTTGTAATTGCGCGCGCGCGCGCGCGTGTGTGTGTGTGTGTGGTGTGTGTGTGTGTGTGTGTGTGTGTGTGTGTGTGTGTGTGTGTGTTGGGTGTGCGTATGCACGTGTATTATGTACGAGCGTCTGTCTTTCGTGTCGTTTGAATTCTAATTTTTCTTCCTTTTATTTTCTCTTTAATTGAGTCCGTTAATTAGGGAGACCACCGCCGATATCAACGACGAGGTCGTCGTTCGCTTTCTTTTTCTTTTCGGATCTTGCTTATCGAATTATCGTTACGACCAGAGCAATTAGTAGAAGCGTCACGGTCGTCATCACGCCCGTTGCTGAATCTGAAATTAGACAAGATATTTCATTGTTTAAGATTGAAATGCCAATCAATATGAAGACTTTCTATAGAAGCTATATTTCTCAGTTTAAATACATTTAATATTTATATAATAAGAATCAATAATTTGCTTATAACTGTTAATCTATTTGCTTCATTTTTGAACAAACCTCGCACAAATTTCGATATTAACGTTAATAAATCTTCTTTTATAAATCATTTAATTCTTTCTAAATAACCTAACTATATTTGAAATCACTCTTTAAAATATAATATTATTAGGTGTTGGAATTAATTCGTAGCGTTTTACAAGTGATGGGAAGTACTTTCATTAATGTATTTTTTAATGCTCATGTGAAATAAATAACATTCTTTCATTAAAAAACACTACGAATTAATTCCAACACCTAATATATCAGATAAGAGAGCGTGAAAGAATTGCGAACAAGAGGTAAACATGAACGATATTATTAATAGTATATATTAAAGTAGTGATAATCTCTCATTTTTCACACCCAGCGATAGTTCGATATATTATCAGTTTCTTACTACAATATGTAATCATAGAGCACACTTTAGGATAAATACAATTACATTGTAAAAAATAAAATGTTAATTTTAACTTATAGTTGTATAATGAACTTTCTGAGACATACAAAAATATTAAAATTAATATCTTTTTTGTTAATTTTAACATTTTTGCATGTCTCAGAAAGTTGACTATAAATTATTAGGTGTTGGAATTAATTCGTAGCGTTTTACAAGTGATGGGAAGTACTTTCATTAATGTATTTTTTAATGCTCATGTGAAATAAATAACATTCTTTCATTAAAAAACGCTACGAATTAATTCCAACACCTAATAAAATTAATATTTTATTTTTTACTGTGTACGTGTTTTCGATGTTTTTGAGAATAAAGGAAAATGATAATTCTAAACACCTAAGAGAAATGTTAAATAAAATCAACAACTTATCAATTATAGAAATTTTTATTCAAAGATTATTTGACTTTAAATTACAATAATTAACATTCGTATATCATCAATATAATTTCTAATTTTAAACAAGAAAAGTACCGTATCGCCTATGCATGCAGCGGGCAAGGATTTTGTTTTTATTAAAAATTATAGTTTATATTGATAATACATAAATGTTAAATAGCAATTTAAAGCCAAAGAATTGAAATATTTTTTTGAATAAAGACTTCTACAGTTGAGAAATAATAGTCGGTTTTATTTAACTTTTTCTTTAGTGTGTTTGCAGTTCCTTCTCTCCCCATATATATATATATTGTACCAGATTCTAATATCTCCAGAAAACTATAGCGCGGAGAAATCTTCACTCTCGCAATGATACGGGATAAAAAGGGAAGGGTTCTCTCGCCATCGGTAGCCTCGAGAGGTCAATGCACAATCAAGGGCTTGAGACGACGAGAATCTGTCGTTACCCCGTTGCAGAAAGGTTGCTACGGAAGAATCCCTCTCCCTCTGAGAGAGGATATGCCGAGAAAACGGAGACGAGTGCAAAGGGATGAGTGCCGATTAGTCGACGGCCCAAGCGAAGTAGATACAGAAGGGAGAAATAAAGATAGACGAGAGGAGAGAGGAGCAGGGGAAAAAAGAACAAAATGAAGAGAAAAAACGGGGGGAAAAATGGGAAGTCAGTTATTCTTCCGGTTGGCCTGTACTGTGCCGTTAGCTATTACTCGCTTGGAGAGAAATGTATTCTCCGGCCTTTTCCTGGCCTCACTCATCTCTAATTACGAATCAGAAACAACCTGGTGGGCCGTCGCCTCCGCTGGCCGGATCACCTCCTCCTTCCCCATCTCCCTCACCCTTTTCTGCTCTTCGCGACCCTTTCTAGAGTCTTCCCGACTCTCATCCAAGACTCGTAAGCAGTAACTTGCCTCCCTGACCCCTTATTCTCCTCCTCCGTCTTTCTTTTATCCGATCCCTGACGCTGCCCCAGGAGAATTCTTCGCTTCGCTACTTTTGTGCGATCTTACCTTCCTTCAATTCGCGATTTCTCGCCCTATCCCATCCTTCTTCTCTTTCCTCCTCCCTTCCTTTTCTCTCCTTATCTCATCTTTCCTCTCTTTTCCTTTTCCTTTACGAGAGGAAAATGCGTTATGTATTTATAATCAATATTTACATTTCATTGTTACACTCGAAAACGCGAAAATTACAAATTGCCATGTCTCGTCTCATTAGATTTGTAATTCGAGATTTTAACTTGTCGTACATTTTCCTGATTTACACGCTGTCCATACTCGAGAGTACATATCGCGTCTACCCTTATTTGACACAATGAAAAATCGACATGTGACGCGTGACATATAATTTCTTATCTTTCGGTATCGAAATAACATCGGACATCGAACTCGTCGCGAGTATCCATATCGCTGTCTCGTCGAACAGTTAACAATTTGACGTTAATCTCACAGCAGAATTTTTCATAGAACGTCCGATATTTCTGGCATTCTTTCCATCGCACTTACATGTGGCAGCTTGCAACGCAGTTTCCCTCGTTACTGGTTCAACCCGCCTTTTTCCATGCGAAATTACCTTACTTCCCTGAGACTATCGCGATCGTCCCCGCGGAGAAAACGGATTTTCACACTACGCCATTATGCAAATTCCTCTTAAAAGTAACCGCGGTCGAGCGAGATATTGAGAGACGGTAGCGCAGAAGCGTAGAAGGAAGGAAAGCCGGGACAGGGATCGAATTACTGAAGAGACGCGCGGGTGAAGACGAATCATGGAAGGAGGAAAAAATGCGAGGGTAGAAAAGAATTATCCGATAATGCCGAAGGCTCGGCAGAATTATGAAAGGTGCTACCACACCTGGCCGCGCTCAGAAATGCGGTAGACGCGGCTGCTCAAATGCCACGGCGGAGCCACGAAATGTCGGATAAACCGCACCTTCGACAGGAAAACTCGTTCGCATTTTGCTTCCTCCGTGTAAGAGTTCATTCATTCTTCGCGACAAGGGAGAAGCCAAATCATAGAAGCCAAATTTAATAAAGTAACGAACCCCGTTTTGTTGTTTAATTGTATAATACATACTTTTATTGCGTATATGTCACTTAATAGGTCACATTATATAAATGTATGACATATGGAATATTTTTTTGACTACTGCGAGGCATTATCGGAATCATATAAAAAGCAGATATGTGAAAAACGCAAAATGCAATTGTCACGCATGATGAATTATTCCAGAGAAAAATATTTTGTTTCTTACGAAAAAAAATGTATTAATTGAAAAATGTAACACTCTCTTTCTGTTCTATATGTATGCTAATCTAGATGTGTTATATTTATCGATTGTATGATTATTTATAAATTTTAGAATTTAATATACATACTGAAAAAAAGAATTTGCAGTCCAGGACTAAAAGCCAAGGATTCGCGAGTTGAAATTTCAATTCTTATTATAACGTATAAATCTTTAAAGTCTACATCTTTAACTCCACAAATTAATATTTTTTTAAAAAAACTACATAAATAAAACTTTTTAATCCCCATTACATAATATATTATTACAAACAATATTATTATATTAATATTAATATTTTATTTATAAACATTTTATTTTATATAATTTTATCCCCAACACTACACACCTCTAATTAATTAATCTTAAATTAAATTAAATTAAATTATCTAACCACTTTTTAAATTTATACCTACCACCCATTTTTATCTATTATATAAATTAAATTTAACAAATATATTAACAAGAAAGAAATGCATAATCAAAATAAAATATTCCTTTAAATTAGAATGAT